AATTTCTGGAGGATGAGGCCCAGAAATCAGGATTTTAAAAAGATTCCCAGGTGATTCTAATGTGCAGCCAAGGTTGAGAACCACTGCTCTAGGAGATCCTCAAAATGGCACTTCCACTGGCTATGAAAATAAATAGGATTTGGTTAGTATAACTATTAGCATAGGTAGCTACTTAGTTAGGAAGAGAGCAAATGGAATTGACCATTAAGCTTGATTCATTAGGGAGCTGAATTAGACATTGAGCCTGATTCACTGGGAAGCCACAGCATTCACAGAGTCCCCAGGTGACAGCCTCATTCTCCACTGAGGCAACTTAATCCCCTAAATGGGCAGGTAGAATCTGCTACTGGTCATTACCCGAGATAACCGGATAACCGAAGGAGGAATAAAAACAGCAGGGGAGCCTGGCCAGTGTGGCTCAGTTGACTGAGCATCCTCCCATGTCGCCAGTTCGATTCCCAGTTAGGACACATGCCTGGGTTGTGGGCTCGATCCCCAATAGAGGCCTGCAGGAGGCAGCTAATCGATGTTTCTCATTGATGTCCCTCCCCTTCCTCTCTCTCTAAAATCAATAAAAACATATTTAAGCCCGGCTGGCATGGCTCAGTGGTTGAGCATTGACCTATGAACCAGGAGGTCATTGTTCCATTCCCGGTCAGGGCACATGCCCGGTTGCAGGCTCAATCCCCAGTGTGGGGTGTGCAGGAGGCAGCCAATCAATGATTCTCTTTCATCATTGGTGTTTCCATCTCTCTGCCTCTCCTGTCCTCTCTGAAATAAATAAAAATATGTTTTAAAAATAAATAAAAACATATTTAAAAACAAACAAAACCAAAAAATCAGCAGGGGAAATGTCTTTGCTAGCCACATGCCCAGTAGAAACTAAGATGGTGGAAAAAAAAAAAAAAGCCCTAGCCTACCTCAGTGAATAGAGCATTGGCCTGTGGACTGAAGGGTCCTGGGTTCGATTCCAGTCAAGGGCATGTACTTTGGTTGCAGGCTCCTCATCAGCCTGGGCCCTGGTCTGGGCATGTGCAGGAGGCAACCAATCGATGTGTTTCTCTCACATCAATATTTCTCTCTGTCTTTCCCTCTCTCTTCCACACTCTCTAAAAATCAATGGAAAAATATCCTTGGGTAAGGATTAAAAAAAAAGAAGAAGAAAGAAACCAAGATGGTGCAGGTGGAAACTAGATGATGCAGCAGAACTTTGGGGCATGCACAGTAGGAGCATACGGGCAGAGTCTAACCTGGGAAAATCTGGGAACAGAATCAGCTTGGCCCAGCCAGCGTGGCTCAGTGGTTGAGCGTCGATCTATGAACCAGGAGGTCTTGGTTCGATTCCTGGTTAGGACATAAACCTGGATGGCGAGCTCCATCCCCAGTGTGGAGCGTGTAGGAGGCAGCTGATAAATGATTCTCTCTCATCATTGATGTTTCTATCTCTCTCTCCCTCTCCCTTCCTCTCTGAAATCAATAAAAAAATATATTTAAAAAAAGAATCAGGTTAAATAAGGGCGTGGAACCCTGGAAGGTCCAGGAAAGGGATTGGTTAGGAAGAGGATCCAGCACAAGTCCAGGAAAACCAAAAAAGTAGGTTGGATAGTTTGAAAGAAAGCCTGCGTGTTCCCCCAAAACCAAGAAATTACATACAGAGGATTATGAGGGATCTCAGGGCAATTGCAACTAGAGAGTGCCTGCCCTCTACATCCTGAGAGTGTATTATTTCCCTTCACCCCAATAAATCTTGTCACTACACTTCAACTGCTCCCAGCCATGCGCCCTTTGAAATTTCTTTCTTCTGATATCTAAAGAACTCATTTTCATCGGCAACACCATTGCCTAGACACATTTATGCACGTAGCTCAAGCTTTTCTCTAAGAACAGGACTTTTACTCTGTGATTAGAATAACATACCAAACCCACTGCACTGACTGGGGACACAAACCCAGCCCGCCCTGCACTGACGTGGGTAGTTACAGGACAAGCCTCGGCTGTGAGTCTGCACTGCTTTCCCTCTGCAGCAACAGAAGAAATTCAGCAAGGGGACACCTGTCTAGTTCCCCCATCTATTCCTCCTTTCCCAGGTAACAGTATTCAGAATTCCCACCGAGAGCTGCATGCCTCACCCCATACCACCAATTTTCAGTGATAAAATTATAATAGAGACCTTAACCTGGACAGAAATCAGAAGGGCCTGTGGGAGGATTGCTCTGGTAGCCCAGTTGGTGAACATGTGGTACTTATACAGCTGTATATGTTCTTCATGCACGTGCCTTGCCATGTCTGCACATATTGGATTGCAATCTTTTCTTTTTATTATTTAAAAAAAATATGGTAGATTTCAGAGAGGAAGGGAGAGGGAGAGACAGATGGAAAATCAATGATGAGAGAGAATCATTGATCGGCTGCTTTCTGCATGCCCCACACTGAGGATTGAGCCTGCAACCCAGGCATGTGCCCTGACCAGGAATCGAACTGTGACCTCCTGGTGTATAGGTCAATGTTCAACCACTGAGCCATGCTGGCCAGGCTCTTTTTCTTGAATAAATCCTTTTGGTGATGGAATACATAGTTGACTTTAAAAAAAAATTAAATCTTTATTGTTGAAAGTATTACATATGTCCCCCTTTTCCCCCATTGACCCCTCTAGCCCGC